AGAGTTTCCACAAAGGTCGTGGAATGACCACATAGCCTTCCATCACCCTAAGAGAATGACTTACATTCAAGACATGTTTGCTCAACCTAAGGATGATGTAGAGTGGGTGCAGTTTTTTAAGAATTTGACTGAGGACCAGGTTCAGTGGATGGTCGAGTAGTTCCCCACCGAAGAGTTCATCCTAAGATCTAGAGACGACCCACATTTGTTGTTAATTGGGTTAAGAGAGATATACCATTACGCACCTCTCAGGGTTATAAGACAGGGAGGCAGGAGACAAGTCACACCACAGGTTGCTAAAATGAGTCATTTCATAGCTGATTTCCAGGGTGATGCCATCACATATAAGAATGAAGCACAACATATGTGGACTTTGAAGATTATTGTAGAGAAGGATACTATCGAGCCGGACCGATATCATGTGGGCCATTCATACTTTTACCCCTCATGGTTGGTTGATAATCTATCAAGAGTCTTTAAGCCAAGGGTTGGTCCAAGAAACAGGGTCATAGATGAGTTTGCCGAAGCAGAGGTGAAGTACAACAAGTTGTGCAAAAGAGTTCGAGAGTCTAAAGCTGAGCATAGGGCGTAGAATAAGGTCGATATGGAAATGATTAACGAGTGGAAAGAAAGAGCTATTAAATCCAGCGAGAGGCTGGAATATCTTGACTACAGTTTAATGAAATTTGAAGGGAAGATAAGTTAGAGGGTCACCGACTGCCAGAATGCTGAAGAAAATGAAGGAGGGCATCTGGAAAGGGCATTCCTACTGCTGAACCTGCGCGAGCTAGGAGGTTGATCGACAACAGCATCCGGTTTGGAGAGGGTCCTTTTGGGACCAAGTAGCTTAGATTTACTTGCTTTCCTTTTAAATGTAATAAGGCCAAGTGCCATTAGCAACATTATCTTATTCAGTGTCGTTTTGGGTCATTTACTTTTACATTAATGAAATGAGGCAATTATTGGCACTGAATTTCTCAAAATTTATTTGTTGCTAGGCCTACCTCGGGCACAACGCTCCCAAATTAGGATGTGAATTTACATTTTCGCAATATGTGTTTAAATACTACAAATATTTAGAACCCTTACTGACTTTTTTACCTTTTGTTTTTCCTTATTCTTTATTCCCATCCTTAAGGTTGGTTCGTACATACTAGCATCATCAGCGTATCACAGCATATCTAGAGGCCCTCCACCTCCTCCTCCTTCAAGTAATACAAAGAGCAAAGGGAATGCTAAAATGGACGACTTAAGTGGTATTCGAAAGGAATATGTGGAAAATACAGAAACTTCAGACGGACTACTCCAGCACCAAATGATTTAGTTTTAAGATTAGAACAAAAGATACCGGAGCTATAGGAGAACTTGAGCAGATTTGTAACTTGGCAAACCTATCCCTCACCTTGAATGTCCCCGATATCACCAAACAAAACACCAAAAACCCAGCACCTCCCCAAAGTACACCAAACCAGCATCTGCAAAACCTTCCTGCACCACATCAATATGCAACTCCACCTCAAAATCTCAATCAGTTACCAATATCAACTCCGCCACAACACCATCATCAACCAATCCAGTACCCACCAACTACTACTTATCACACTGTCCAGAATACACCACAACCCATTCCTGATCTTCAAAACTCAACCAATGACCATTACTACACCCAAGTCCCTAGCACTCACCAAAACAACCCTATATATGTGAAAATTGTACCTCACTCTACTTAACCAACTTCCTATACACCAGTATCCGCTGAGAAGGACCTACTCATCAAAAACATGGCTGAGGAACTCAAAAAACTAACAAGTCAAGTTCAGGGTGTGGAAGGAGGCAAAGGGATAGAAGGTTTGAACTATGAAGACCTATGCATACAGCCAGATGTAGAACTACCAGAGGGGTACAAACCTCCCAAGTTCGAGATGTTTGACGGTACAAGTGATCCCAGGGTTCATATAAGGACCTATTGTGACAAACTTGTCGGGGTCAGAAAGGATGAAAAGATCCGAATGAAACTTTTCACGAGGAGTCTTATGGGAGACGCTTTGTCCTGGTACATCAGCCAGCTAAGAAATGGTCCAATTAGGTGAGTATGGGGTCTGATTTCATGGACCGATTTAGGTTCAACACAGAAAATGCACCAAATATTTTCTACATTCAGAACCTCAAGAAGTAGCCCACTGAGACTTTCCGTGAGTATGCTACTCGTTGGGGGTCAGAAGCAGCCAAAGTCAGGCCATCTTTGGATGAGGAACATATGAACAAATTTTTCGTCAGAGCACAGGATCCGCAATACTATGAAAGGTTGATGGTTATTGAAAACCATAAATTCTCTGACATTATCAAACATGGGGAAATGATCGAAGAAGGTATCCAAAGCGGTATAGTAACAAACTTTGAGGCATTATAGGCCATAAACAAGGCATTATAATCAGGCTGCATATCAAAGAAGAAAGACGTTGGGGAAATAATGGTGGCTTAGGGCCCGAAATCTCCACTTACATATCAAACACCTCCACCCACATATCAACCCTCATCTCCCAGATATTCCCAACCGACCACTATTTATCATACATATAATTCGCAACCATCTCATTTCCAATCACCTCCAACTTGCCAAAATTATCCAAGACCACGACCTAATTTTGACCGCAAACCACCAAGACAATACACCGCTATTGGTAAACCCATCGACCAGCTGTATGAAAGGTTGAAAGTTGCTGGTTACGTCACATTTATTCCCGCTGTGGCAGTAAAAAACCCATCCCAATGGGTCAATCCAAATAAAACATGTGCATACCATTCGGGTATGAAGGGGCGCACCATTGACGAGTGCCAAACATTGAAAGAAAAAATCCAGACACTAATTGACAACAAGGTCATACAGGCGAAAGAGGTTGCACCCAATGTTTGCAACAATCCTCTCTCAAATCATAGGGTGGTAGGATACATGTGATAGAGATGGACGAGGAATGGGATCCTGAGGGGTCAATCAGGCTTATTCGAGAAGGCTATGACTTTAAACCCGTAGTCACACTTACTCTTATTAAATTACAGACTCAGTCACAAATCGAGGTTGAGGTAGCTGCATCGGTTCCATTTAAGGTAAAGGTAGCTCCACCTGCGGCCACCCCTGTTCCATTTGAAGTGGAAGTGGCCAGACCTTTCACAGTGACAGTATCAAACACACATCCTTTTAATTCAAAAGCAATACCCTGGGATTATTTTGCCAAACCTAGGCGAAAAGGAAAGGAAAAAAAATAGAGAAACCCGATACTTCCCAAGGAATGACTAGGACCGGAAGAATCTATACACCTGAACACCTAGGAGGACCAAATAAGGATGCCACTACCAAGCAGCCTATCATTGAAACAGGGCCAAATGACCTTTGGAGGAATGTACAAACAAGGGAATACTCCGTCATCGATCATTTGAACAAAACCCCAACTCAGATATCCATACTATAACTGTTGCAAAATTCAGAGGCGCACAAGAACGCTTTGATGAAGGTGTTGAGTGAAGCTTATTTACCCAACAATATCACCTACGGAGAGATGGCCAACATGGCAGGGTAGGTGCTGGAAAGTCATAAAATAATCTTCCACAAGAATGAACTACCGCCTGAAAGGTTGAATCACAATCAAGCATTGCATATCACGGTGCAATTTGAAGACAAATTCATCGTTAGGGTCTTGATTGATAGGGGTTGAAGCCTCAATATTTGTCCGTTGGATACTCTGAAAAGATTTGATAAAGGTTTTCACGAGATACGAGCAGGAAGCATGAATATAAATGCCTTCGATGGGTCTCAAAGGGACACGATCGAGGAGATTAATCTTTGTCTTCAAATGGGGCCAACTTGGTTCGATGTTGAATTCCAAGTGCTTGATATATCATCTTCATACAATCTTCTGTTAGGCCGACCATGGATGCATGCCGTTGGGGCTATGGCTTGCACATTACACCAAGTCGTGAAATTTGAATTGAACTATCAGGAGGTGATCATTCATGGGGACAAGAGTAACCCCATTTATACCAATCAAACCATCCCAGTTATCGGGAACAGAAGAAGGCTAGGAGGGGAAACCTATCATCACATTAAATGTTTTAATGCCGTTGAGAAATACAAATGGTGGAGAAAAAAAATAGAAAGCATACTGGCATGGTCTGGTATGAACCCGACAAAGGGCTTGGGAAGAATCTCAAGGGTATTACCAAACTGATATAGCTAAAACGTCATGGTACTACCTACAGGCTCGAATACCAGTATACATGGAAAAAGTATAATAACTGGTCGCCTCCATGGTGCGAACCTTATTACCCTCTCAAGCAACCAATGCCACACCTGGGTCAAACTTTTTACCAAGCTAATACATTATGGGGAACTGCAGAAAAGAAGCATTTACTAGGCCGAGGAATCTATTCTTGGAGGACGAAGACATGGATTGCAGTGCAATAATTGAGGAGGAGGAAGAAGGCCTTACTATTTAGACTGTGGAGAAGGGAGCTGTTCTCAGGAACGGGACTGCCACACTATCCTGGTCCCACCGAGTCTCTGGGTAGCTTGGCAGATTTTATTTCTATAGTCATTCTAGGTATCTAAGATTTTCAGTAATTTTGTTTTAAAGACTTACTTGTTTCAAAATAAATTTTTGATTCATCGAGCCATACTTGTTTGGATGTTTTCAGTTTTAATCGAATGCATTGTTCTCTATTATTCATTATTATAACTACTAGAAAATAGACCTATTGCAACGGTTTTTAACAAAAGTTATATAAACATTGCAAAAGATAATCTATGGCAACGGTTATAACCGTTGCATAATTCTATCAGGGCTAGTGAGATAGTAAGTACAATAAACCGTCACATTAGGTGAATAACCCTTGCTATAGACAGGTCTATTGCGATGATTTATTTAAACGTGGCNGTATTGCATTCCCTCCTTATATTACCGCTTCCAAATTTACTAACCCGCCAATTTTTTCAAGGAAAAGAACTAAGAGACGTAGAGGAAAAAAAGAAAAACTAAAATTAAAGTCCTAACAAAGATACATGGAACCCAAAGCCCTAATCAAGATTGTTGATCCACCAACAAAGATCTGAAGAAATTCCAACAGGTTCTTCTCTCTTTCTCTCCCCCTTGCCCTAGCCCCGTTGTACTTTTATTCTACAATAATTTTTTTCATTATTTCGTTGCTTTCTCAGTCTTTGCCACGAAGAATATTGAGGTAATAATCATACTCACTTAAAATCAAAAAGGTTAGTACTTTATTATATGAAAATCCTTGATGATTTGTCTTTTGTTTTATTGATGGAAAAATGTATGCGATGAGTTTGCCTTTCTATTTATTTCAAAATTGCAATATTTGGGTTTGCTTTGAATAAAGTTTCGGTTGATGGGTTATTAGATTTTTAGGTGGTTTTGTTTGATTTTGGGTTTAGATAATGATATTTTTTAGGACGAAATTGAATGTTCATTGGTGAATGGGTTTATTTTGCTAGTGAACTAAAAGGCAGTATGGACTTATTGAATCCATTCTTGTAAGTCTTCTCTTCCTTTATACTAGGTAAGTTTCATTTTTTGTTCTTATTTATTTATTTATTTTGCAAGTGAAAGGCAAATTGAAATAAACCATGGGAATAGCTGCTTTATTTGTCATTGCAATTATATTTCACTTGTAAGATCAGTTGAAGTATAACGCGCAATGTCCAATTTGCTTTTCTTCTATGCTTATAAAGTACTTGTTGGATCTTTATCAAAGGGAGGAAAAATGAAGGTATTAGATATCAATGAATTTCTGTTTGCTTTCGATCCACATGAGAAAAATAACTTATCAAAAGAAGAGGAGAAAATGAAGTCCTGCAAAGACTAGTGATTAGGGAGTTAATTGAAAAAAGTGTAATATGTGACATAAAGGGTGGGTGATTAGTTGCTTTTTAATTAATTTGAATGGTATGGTTGAATAGATGCTTTAAAGTAAAATATTCTTCATTGGGTAGTAGGAACTGAAGATAATTCTCTTTGCATCAATTTATGGTAACTCTTTCTAATAGGTTTTATTGCTGAAAGATACATAAAATCCCACCAAGCATTGAAAATATGGATAACTAACTCCTTAATATGTATCTACCAAAATCGCAAAACATAATAATTTAGCTAGATGTACTAAGTATTCTATTTCTTTTGAATTACTTAGTTGCTAGATTTGCTTGTTTCTTATGTATTTTTTTATTCAATGTGTGGGTGATTTATTCTCTTACTGCTTTATTGAAAGGTTAAATATTTTATTGGTCTGTAGATTGAAAGTTTTATTTAGAAAGTACATGATAGAACCTTTGTTATGACTCTTCATTTTAGATTATTCAGCAGATTATGCAAGTAGGATGACATATGTTATTTTCACCAATGAAATGGTCTCAAAAGTTTAAAAAAATAGTTCATGAGTAAGTAAACTATATTAAATTTGCTGAGCTTTAGCTCACTTAATAACAGAGGGAAAAAATTCTTTTCCTCTGTTATAAGTAAGTCTCTTTATTTGCATTTTTGTTGCTTTCTGTCAATGTGTATATTTTTTCCTAAGTCATAAAAGTAGGTAACAAACAAGATAGATAGATTTTGGTAATTAAAAGTTATTCGTTGTAAGGGCACCACTCTTTTCCTTTTTTCTAATAAGGAAAAGTTTATCAGGAAAAGCATCAGTACTTATCGTGAACCCAATGAAAAGAAACAAATTAATGAAGGATCAAACTAAACCATTTAAAATCGCCTGATACTCTTTAAATGGAGGCTGATGATTGGTGAAGGATCTTCTAAACTTCTTTAAATATATACTCGTCATTATTTTGTAGTGACTAATAATGTCATTTTTTAGAAATATTATGTGACTGTTTTTCTTGTTTATATGTTTTTAGTCCTTTTGCATTTGTTTTTTTCTTAGAGTTCTATTCTAAATTGCGTCGATTTTACAGGTTATATACCAATAAGTGTTACTGATTGTAGATTACAATCCAAGTAAGCTGCATTAAGTTTATCTCTCAAGTAAGTGGCACAAATTGTTTCAAGTACTTATTATAGATATAATGCTTCATGCTTTTTCTTCCTTTTTTTTTTTGTAATGTTCAGTGTCATTATTGCGTTGTCTACCTGATGCTTCAACTAACCTTCTTCTAACCTGATTATCTTTGATTGTCTTAAACACACACAGATTTAGATAGTTATGGGTCAAGAAGGGTCTTCAAGAAAAAAGGAAAAAGGAAAAATCCTGTTATATGTTCAAGCTGGAAGTTTATCATGTTTGGCAAAAAAAAAGAGAATGTCATTGACAACAAACGAAACTGTTCAAGCTATACGGTCAGAGAAAGAGCATTTGCTAAAATTAATTGAAGAACAACCAACAATAGGAGCACGATCTGAAGCAAATGAATGACATGTAGAGGAGCAATCTGTAGAGGAGCAAATTGTAGATGAGCATACGCAAATAGATTCTACCACTCCTAAAGCTAATGAACAATCTGAAGAACAAGGCAAGACCACATAACTTAGAATCTTACTGAATTCATCCATGACCTCTAATTTTTTGTATTTTATTATAGCTTCTAGTCCTGCGACTCAAAAGAGAAAGAGAGGCAGGACACAAATGCGTAGTGTCCATGGCCGAAAGGTGCGTAAGATGATCACACTTAACAATGTTATTCAGCCCATTGGTCCTACTAAAAAATATGTAAGAGAGTTTGGTAGCTTCCTCGGTATATTGGCAAGGACTACAACCCTTTGCCCACTGAATATATTGGACTGGAGGAAAATGGACACAAAAGACGATTTATGGACATATACCAAGGTTTGAAGTTCTGATCCAAATGTTCATTTACTTGTTAAAAGTATGTTACAATTTTCGTTAATCAAATGAAATTAAATTGTAGTCGAAGTATAATATTCCAGATGCTGCAAAAACATGGACTTTATATTCAATTGGAAATGCTTGGAGAAGGCATAAAAGTCAACTGAAAAAAGATCATTATGATGCATATCAAAATGATGATGTTCGAATGACAAAAAGGCCTGATTATATACCAGAATATCAGTTTAAAGAACTCCTGAAATATTGGAGTTCTGATAAACTACAGGTAAATATAAACCATGGTCTTGACAACAGTCTCCACAATTTGTTAATACAGAAGAACTCTAATTGCATTACAAAATAATTTTCTTCAGCAGGTAACACTTTAGGATATTTCAAATGAATTTAAATTTGTGTTGTCCTAAATAGTATTGTCTTATAGTTCTGGAAACTTCTATTAAGGAGCAGACGATTACACCAATACTGGAATTGGGAAATTCATTTATATTTTACACCATTCGGTGCTCAATTTTCAGTTTTGTTTTATGTGAAATGTGGTGTTAGTGCGCTACATATTTTCTTTTTATTTTCTAACTGAATTTAACTCTCCATAACTAACTTAATATGGGGCTGGCTTATGTTCCAATCTTTCTCTTGGATCATTATCAGTAACTTAATTTATTGTTGGTTTCATTTTATGTTGAATACATAAATAATTCGTCTATTAGTCTAAATACTAAATGGTTATGACTTAAAGTAAATATTATAATGTATAGATATCGTGCTAATAGGATTATCATGCTTTCACCAGTAAAACGTGATTCATTAAGATAAATCAAACCAATAGGCCCTAATTTTAAATGTCATTATGGTTTGTTCTTAGGTAGGAGACTTTTTTCTGCTTGCTTGTTTTCAGTAAACACATTGAATTACTGTTATTATTTTTGCTTTCTTCTTGAGTGATGTTGTTAATATTACTGTAAATATGGACATGTTGGGTAGGAATACAGGACACATTAACTCAAAACTTTCCTTGTTCCTTCTTGATACTTGATCCTTGTCCTTTTTCTGAACTTTACTATTTTGAAAGTTACTTTTGCTTTAATATCCAAAGGTCTATCGAAAACAGCCTCTCTACCTCGCCGGATAGGGGTAAGGTCTGCGTATACTCTATCTTCCTCAGATTCCACTCGTGTGATTATACTTGGTATGTTGTTGTTGTAGTATGTCAAAAATAAGATCTATTTTTTCTGTTGGTGTTTCCATTGCTTCACCTTTCACAAAGATAATTGAACTTTTTTAGAAAGAATCTTATTGTCTTGTAGATTCTCAGAGATCTTATTGAATGAGAAATATTTTGGATTATCCCTTCCCTATAACTATTAGATTGTTGTGTCTTATTACGTGTCATGACATTGATATACCTATATGTTTAAATGAAATCCTTTTGTAAAACTTTTGCTAAATTGCTTGTTTTTTAACTATTTGTAGGTGGAGAACTTGAACAAGGAGATGAAAGTGATGAAGATCTGACTTAGGAGTATTAGCTTGATTCATGAAGAAACTTTACATATGAAGTAGGAATGTTTTGTTTTTGAACACTTTGGAAACTTATGTGTTCCAATTCACTGGCAAATATTGTTATATATTTTGCTTTTTTGGATATTACACCTAACTGGATTCTTATTTTATTTATAATTGAATTTTTCTCATAAATTATATATATTTCAAGGTATGTTACATTGTTGGTTTGTTTACTGTTGCAATAGAGCTACAATAACCGTTGCAGTAGCCTAGAAAATAATCGTCGTAATATATCAACATAACCATTGCAAAAAGCATGAGTCCCAAATCGCATAAGCCAAAAGTGAACGTTGCAATAGCACAAAGTATAGTTGCAATAGTATAGAATAACTGTAGCAATAGCCTCAACAACAATTGCAGATAAACTCTATTGCAACGCCTTTTAAAAGTTCCTGCAGAATCGCAAAATTTGTTGTAATATAATTAAAGAACAATCGTTGTAATAGGCCATATATTGCATCGGTTATTCAACCATTACTAAAGACCGTCTCAATAGATCTATTGTAACAAAATCTGTTGTAGCGGGCACAAAAACCGTCGCAATAGCGTTGTGGCAACGGTTTCCCCACCTGCTGCAACGATTTTGGAACCGTTGCCATAAGATTAATTTCTAGTAGTGATATCTTCCACATTTTTTCGTTCTACAATGTTATTATTACTTTTCCTGATGAACCGGTGATTGTAACATGTAATGAGGCAACACAATCTAAGGATAGTGATTCGGATGAAGAAGATGAAACACTTGAGGAAGTTGTCAAGGAGGTTGAGAACTTTGAGAATAAGCCTAAGTCCAACATAGACAAAACCGAAACAGTAAATTTGGGGGACGCCGAGACCGTCAAAGAGACTCGCATCAGCACTCACTTATCACCGACAGAGAAAGAAGAGTACATTCGTTGCTTAAAGGAATATGAGGACATCTTCGCATGGTCATATGATTACATGACCGGTTTGAGCACGTTCATAGTGGCTCACAAGTTGCCTACTAATCCCATGTGTCCGCTAGTGAAGCAAAAACTCAGAAAATTCAAACCAGATATGAGCCTGAAAATCAAGGAGAAAGTTACTAAGAAGATCAAAGCCAAAGTCCTCAGGGTTGTTAAGTACCCAACCTGGTTAGCCAACATTGTACAAGTTTCGAAGAAAGATGGGAAAGTCAGAATATGTGTTGACTATCGAGACTTAAAAAGAGCAAGTCCCAAGGACGACTTACCACTATCGAATATACACATCCTGATCGACAATTGCGCCAAACATGAACTCCATCCTTCGTAGATTGCTTCGCGGGTTATCACCAGATCTGGATGGATGAAGAAGACGTAGAGAGAACAACTTTTATTACACCTTGGGGGGTATATTGTTACAAAATGATGCCATTTGGTCAAAAGAATGATGGGGCTACTTACATAAGAGCCATGACAACCATCTTCCATGATATGATACACAAAGAAATAGAAGTGTATGTGGACGACGTCATTATCATATCCAAGAGGGATGCGGATCACATAACGAACTTGAGAAAGTTCTTTGACAGGTTAAGGAGGTAGAACTTAAAATTGAACCCAGCAAATTGTGCATTCGGGGTTCCTGCAGGAATGTTACTAGGATTCATTGTTAGTCGTCGAGGGATCGAGCTAGACCCATCCAAGGTTAAGGCTATTCAGGAGTTACTGCCACATAGAAGCAAAGCGGATGTGATGAGCTTCCTAGGACGTCTCAACTATATCAGTCGCTTCATAGCACAGTCCACTGTCATATGTGAACCCATCTTCAAGATGCTGAGGAAAGATGCCGAAACAAGCTGGACCGAGGATTGTCAGAATATTTTCGACAAAATCAAGGAGTACCTATCCACATCACCGGTCTTCATCCCACCAGAGCCAGGACGACCTTTGCTACTTTATCTATCTGTATTGGATGGAGCCTTCGGATGTGTTCTGGGACAACATGATGAGACAGGGAGAAAGGAGCAAGCCATATACTGCCTAAGTAAGAAATTCACACCTTATGAAGCACAATACTCTCTACTGGAACGCATTTGGTGTGCTTTGACCTGGACGGCTCAGAAATTAAGGCATTACTTCTGTGCCTATACCACATATCTCATATTTAGGATGGACCCTCTAAAGTACATCTTTCAGAAGCCTATGCCAACTAGGAAGTTAGCCAAATGGCAGATACTATTAAGTGAGTTCGATATCGTATATGTAACTCAAAAGGCGGTCAAAGGACAAGCATTGGCAGACCATCTTGCTAAAAATCTTGTGGGAGGAGAATACCAACCCTTAAAAACATATTTTCTGGATGAAGAAGTGGCATTCGTAGGAGAAGACATTACTAAAGTATAAGACGGCTGGAGGTTGTTCTTTGATAGAGCTGCAAATTTCAAAGAAGTGGGCATTGGAGCGGTTTTGGTATCAGAAACAGGTCAACATTATCCGGTATCTGCTACTCAGATTTCCCTGCATAAACAACATGGCAGAATATGAAGCCTGCATACTAGGGCTCAACATGGAAATCGACATGAATGTTCAGGAGCTGCTAGTAATTGGTGATTCAGATTTGCTCGTGCACCAGGTACAAGGAGAGTGGGCCACCAATAATTCCAAGATATTGTCATATCTGCACCATGTGCAGGAATTGAGAAAAAGGTTCACGAAGATAGAGTTTCGGCATGTTCCCAGAATTCAGAACGAGTTTGCTGATGCTTTGGCCACCTTGTCATCCATGATACATCATCCAGATAAGAATTTCATTGATCCCATCCCAGTGAGAATCCATAATCAACCGGCTTACGGTGCTCATGTCGAGGAAGAGATAGATGGAAAACCTTGGTTCCATGACATCAAAGAGTATTTGGCAAAAGGAGAATATCCAGAGCATGCAAACCATACTTAGAAATGCACACTTCGGAGGTTGTCCAATCACTTTTTCCACAGCGGAGGAAACTTGTACAAAAGAACTCCTGATTTAGGATTGCTAAGATGTGTCGACGCAAAAGAAGCTTCTAAACTACTTGAGGAGATACATGTTAAGACCTACGGCCCGTATAAGAATGGTTTTGTCTTGGCCAAGAAGATACTTAGGGCCGGTTACTTTTGGATAACTATGGAGACAGATGGCATCCAGTATGTCCGCAAATGCTACCAATGTCAAGTGCATGGCGATATGATAAAAATGTCGCCGAATGAGCTCAATGCAACAAGCTCACCTTGTCCATTCCCCGCCTGGGGAATGGATGTCATCGGTCCTATCGAGCCCATCGCTTCAAATGGGCACAGGTTTATTCTAGTAGCCATTGACTACTTCACAAAATGGGTAGAGGCTGCATCCTACAAAGTTGTGACCAATAAAGTTGTCACAGACTTTGTCAAGGATCGTATTGTTTGCTGATTCGGAGTTCCCGAGTCTATTGTCACTGATAATGCCGCCAATCTCAACAGTGAACTAATGAAAGCCATGTGTGAAACTTTCAAAATCAAGCACAAGAACTCCACATCATACAGACCTCAGATGAACGGAGCCCTAGAAGCTACCAACAAAAACATCAAGAAGATATTAAGGAAGATGATAGAAAACCACAAACAATTGCACGAGAAGCTACCGTTTACTTTGTTGGGATACCGCACTACAGTTCATAAATCAACTAGGGCAACTCCCTACATGCTGGTTTATGGTACCGAAGCTATCATCCCAGTTGAGGTAGAGATCCCTTCTTTAAGAATCATACAGGAAGCCAAACTCAGCGATGCAGAATGGATAATGAGCCGCTATGAGCAATTGGACCTTATAGATAGAAAAAGAATGAACGCAGTATGTCACAGTCAGCTTTATCATAACAGAATGTCCAGAGCATTCAACAAAAGGGTCAAACCAAGGCAGTTTTCACCAGGACAGTTGGCACTAAAGAAGATCTTCCCACATCAAGATGAAGCCAAAGGGAAATAACCCCCTAACTAGCAAAGACCTTACATGGTTCATAGGGTGCTGACAGGAGGAGCACTCATACTCGCAGAAATGGATGGAGAAGTCTGGCCAAAGCCAATCAATTCAAACGCATTCAAAAGATACTATGTTTAGACTATTTACATTTCCTCATCATATGTAATCGAACTATGTTTGACCTAATTCCCGTTTAAGAGGGGATACGTAGGCAGCCCTATGGGTTCGGTCATATCATAATAAAATTTTCATTTCCCCTAGGAGCAGAAACTGGGGCAGAATTTTGAGGAGGACCCTCAAAATTCCGGAGCAAATCCAGCCAGCGCCAGCATATGCCAGAAAGTCAGAAATTACTTAAGAAATTGGGGCAAAAATTTGAGAAGAATTCTCAAAATTTCGAAAAAGGTTCAACATGTTTCGTCACTCGCAAACGACCGAAAGATCATTTACCAAACCGGGGCAGAATATTTAGGAAGACCCTCAAAATTCTAACACGAGAAAGCTCTGATGTCTTTAAGACTTGTTATAGTGACTAGTTCATCTAAAATTATTTGATAATGTCACCATGTTTCTAAAAAATAATCTATTTTTATCAATAATTGCACATTTTTGAAAAATCTATTTCCGTAACAGCCAGCTGTTTCCCAGGGAAACTCAAACAAGGCATCCAGCATAAAGAAGCAAGGCCAACGGACAAAGGCACGAACCAACCTCCCCCTTACAAAACATACAATTTTTCTTTGAACGTAGGAACATTTGAAGTAGCGATAGCATTCACAAATATATACATGAAGAAAAATCACTATCAAACGGGCCACCGGACACAGAATGTATCCCCGGCTAAGAAACATTCTACCCTTATTTGCTATTCCATTTGCATGGGACTAAGACCTGTCCCGCATCTTGCATGAGGCTAAGCCCTGCCTCCATATTTGCATAAGGCTAAGCACTGCCTTCCATTTGCATGGGACAAAGCCTTGTCCCATATCTTGCATAAGGCTAAGCCCTACCTCCATATTTGAATAAGGCTAAGCCCTACCTCCATATTTGCATAAGGCTATGCACTGTCCTCCATTTGCATGGGACTTAGCCCTGTCCCGAACCTTGCATGATGCTAAGCCCTGCCTCCATATTTGCATAAGTC